GGCGTCAGACCCCAGCGGACTGTTCGCTCCTCAGCCAGCTACACCTTGGGTCTGTCTCCTAATATGGGACTGAGACCCAGTGGACCAGACCCCTTTCTCAGACACTCCGGATGCCCCAACCCTCTCTATCCCAGACAAGACAGCCCTTCCCAACCTCGACCTTCACCTACAGGCTCATTAGCCACCAGTCCTCCAGGCACCTGCTCCCCTGCCTTCAGACCCCCGCAACACCCCTCACCCAGACCGCCACCCGACCCACCTAAGGTGACACATGAACAGTTCAAGGCGGCCCTGCAGATGGTGGTGGACAAAGGCGATCCCCGCTCTTATCTGGAGAACTTTGTGAAGATCGGAGAGGGCTCCACAGGAGTGGTGTGTATCGCAACAGAGAAGCACAGCGGCCGGCAAGTGGCGGTGAAGATGATGGACCTGCGGCGGCAGCAGAGGCGAGAGCTACTCTTTAATGAGGTACAAAAAAAATAACCCAACATACAAATGCAAATAACTCTAAAATGTACCGAGAGTCATTTACAGCAACATATATCTAATCTTTGTTGTTTAGCCTGTGGGAAAGCAGTTTAGTGATATCAGGGCATAAAAGAGAAGGCAGTTGCTTCATTTTAAGTGCTAAAAAAAGCACTTTAAGTGAGTTAATCCCTATGTTAACACAGCTTTAAATTAGGGAAGTGTTTACAGCCTGGTACAAGAAAAAAACAGAGTCGGTCTCTAGAGTTAATTTTGCCTTTCATAGCAACGTTTGAACATTTTTAATGCAGTTATCTGACAGCTGTCAAATGCAATTAAAAAACAAACAAACAAGTCTAATATTTTATTAGTATTACTTATCACTAACTGGTATCTGATTCTGGGTGACACATCCAATGGCTTATTAAGGTTAAGTGATCACTTGTATTCAAATATGATCATATCTGACAAAACCAAGAGGCTTCCAAAAGGCAGCTGACACAGAGTATGCCTTTATAGAGTCCAATATTTTTATGCACATCTATCATTTGGAGGTATTTTCCAGTCTGAAAGAGTAGCACTGATGTCATCATCTTTGTAATCTTCATGGAGTTTAAATGAACTATATTTCTGCTTGGCAGTGAATTCCAGTGACAGAGCAGCAGTCATCTTTACTGCTGGAGAACCAATAAGTGGCGACATTGTTTGTTATATTTCTAAAGATTATACCACCAAATAATGTTTTGTGTTGCAGGTGGTCATCATGAGGGACTATCAGCACAGAAATGTGGTGGAGATGTTTAAGTCTGCTCTGGTGGAGGAAGAGCTGTGGGTCATCATGGAGTACTTGCAGGGTGGAGCACTGACTAACATTGTTTCTGAAACCAGGTGAGAACGCCATTAAATATCCACAGAAGAAAAACAAAACAAAACAACAACAACAAAAAACTGTATTTCATTGATTCCATATGGAACTTATATTTTTTAATAACTAAATCAACCACAAGAGGGTAGTGTGGTATCAACTGGTGGGTAATCGATGTTCCTCCCAGGAGTGCAAAACTGTCATCAAGTCTTCTCGTGCACGCCACGTCTGCTGCTTTCCTCCAGAGAAAAATAATAATACAGTAAAATAATTGAATTTGTGTGTGTTTAAATGCCACACAGAAGGCTGATTTTGGGTAGACATTTGATCCCCTGATGCTACGACATACATCAAAAAGGGAGAAAACATATTGACCAGCAGCAGGGAGCTGAAATTTATCAGGGTGTGTTTGTTTGAGCTGTCAATATGGTTTATATTACTAACAGATGGCTGGCTCAGTCTCCATAGGGTGACCTCAGGGTTAGATTGTTTGACTCAAAGGGATGGAAATTTTCCTCTCATACCAAATGATATATAAAGTGAGCCAGCTGTCACTGCCACTGCTAGTCTAAGCCTAAAATAATCAGGATATTGACACAACAATCAAGATCAAGAGTCCTTTGTGTATGCTGTTTCTCCAGGCTGAACTATGATGTCAGATTATTTTAAAAATCCACTCAGTTTTAATCATTTTATCTTATATAGTTTTAGACAGTTTTTAACCTATAGTTGTTGTGTGTGGGAGGAACCTTGCTCTGTAAAGTAATTGTTACCTGGTGTTTTCTGTGAAATGTCTTTTTGCTGCTCGACTTTAACTGTTTATGCTGCACTTGAAAAAATATTAAAGGCACATTAGCATCGTGGCAGAACGGGCGTGCTTCATTCGTCACTCTGCTACGTGGGAGTTGTTGCTTTGAACCTTGCCTACTTTATCGTTGCCTTTAATGTGCGGTGATTCATGAAATTCAACTTTAAGTCCTGTTGATTCGTCATAACTAGTAGTGTAAAAGTGTGAAATTCATGTAAAATCTGTGTGTTTCTGTGTGTTGTGCTGCAGGCTGAGTGAAGAGCAGATTGCTACAGTGTGTGAAGCTGTGCTGCAAGCCCTGGCTTATCTCCATTCACAGGGAGTCATTCACAGAGACATCAAAAGTGACTCTATACTACTTACGTTAGACGGAAGGGTATGAAATGTTTCTTTCTTTCTGTCTCCTTCTTTCTTTTTCTTTTTGCTTTCTTGATTAAAATTAAGGAAAGCGTTTTTTTCCTCACAGGTCAAGCTTTCAGACTTTGGCTTCTGTGCACAGATCAGTAAGGACATCCCTAAGAGGAAGTCTCTAGTGGGGACACCTTATTGGATGGCGCCTGAGGTCATATCCAAGTCGCCATATGGCACTGAAGTGAGGAGGCACACATTCAGTTTGCATGAATACCACTAGTGTAGCACTGATTGCCAACAGAGGCAATCTGTGCAATAGTATGAGACCTGTTAGACACTTTTTTTCCTGTGTCGTGGTTTATTTCCAGGTCGATATATGGTCGATGGGCATCATGGTGGTTGAGATGGTGGATGGAGAGCCGCCATACTTCAGTGAAACCCCTGTAACAGCGATGAAGAGGCTGAGGGATGAGCCAGCTCCTACTGTTCGAAACGCCAGTCAGGTACGAGAACAGACGAACGCAAGCTAGCAGCATTGATGGTCCAGACTGAAGTGTCTCGGCAAATGCTGGATGCAACACAATTACACGACCATATCACTGCAATGATTTATTGGAGTACAACTATATTATGTACTTATACGTACCTATTATGTTCCTATACAGCAGCTGGATAGCGTAGTGGTAGGCCTACACACCTTTGGAGTTGCAAGCTCGACCCAGTAACTGTCCTGTCTAGACCCCCCATGCTAAAAACCAAGCCCTGGAATGGCGCAGCTACACCTGTGTGCAGCTCAGACGCAAGCATTTCACTACATGTTGTACTCTGTATGATTGTTTATGTTCAAATAAAGGTTGTTTGTATTTCTTCCTGGTGCAGGTCTCTCCAGTTCTTAAAGACTTCCTGGACCGTATGCTGACTCGAGACCCACTAGAGAGAGCCAGCGCCATCGACTTGTTGGAGCACCCCTTCCTGCTGCAGAGCGGCTCACCTCAGTGCCTGGTCCCACTGGTGGAGCAATACCGTAAGCGCATGTCCCGCTGCTGACCCCACAGGGCTCCTGGTCCCCCAACACCCACCTTCAGTATGACCCTTCCAGGCCTCAGAAGAGGACAAGCAACTGGGGTCCAACTTCAGCTCCCAAGCCAATGGGCTATCAGCTCCAGAGGCGCAGACCCCGACGGGGTAACGGCGGCAAGTTTGGTAGACAGACACAGCATGGTCTCGGGCATGAGAGAAGCATCTTAGGAGCGAGTTAAAGGCAGCATGCGATCCCTCACCTCACCTCTCAGCTCGCTGTGATCCGATTATCGATTGGTTTCCTGTAACATTCAGTGGGATTCAACACAGCACAATGTGGTGCATATCAAAGTGATAGCAAAAATCAATATTCCACATGACTATATGTACATGTGCTACTATAAAAATCCTATATAGTGTTCATAGTGGGCATTATTGCTAGCTGTGTAAAGTTTTTAAGCTGGTGTTTAGGCTCAAACCAGAGTAGCTCATTGTGACATTATTAGGCAGGGATAAAGTTACCTCTGCACACTCACACTCTGTAGTGGAAACTGGACAACAATCTGTCAATCCACACTCTTTGCATGGCCAAATGGAGGCACACCTGGCCTGATGTGAATGCTTGAATATGTACGAAACAGGGATGTGAAAGACAATTCTCCTTTTATTAGCATAACAAATGGGTAGATGAAAGCCCCAGCTGCTACTATTGGGCTACTGGAAAACCACCAATTCCATGTTTCTCTTTTTTATGTTTATTCTTTATTTCAAAAAGGTATTGTTGGTCGTTTGTATGATGTGAAGTTGCAAATAAGGTTTCATTATTAGGTATGGACTTGAACCATGAGCAGATAAATTAATAATGTAAATACTGAATATTAGGATCTTACACCTGCTGATTCACTGCAGTAAATTATGTGAAACAAATTCAAAATGTTACTTTTCTTTACTGAAATGTGTAGTTGTTTTTTTTTGTCGTGTGTGTGTGAGAGAGAGAGCGAGAGGAAGCGCACGAATGTGTGAGGTTTCAGCGTTCGCTTCAACTCTTTGTATTGTGACAGACTTTTTAAAAATCATAAGATTTATGTGTGTGTGTGTGTGTGTGTGTGTGTGTGTGTGTGTGTGTGTGTGTGTGCGCGTGTGTGTGTGCGCGTGTGTGTGTGTGTGCGCGCGTGTGTGTGCGTGTGTTACTCCTGAAGATGTGTGTGACTGCATTTGCATTTGTTTGCCTAGATAAAGCACACAGGCCTGGCATGTGATGCTGCAGGACATCAACCTGCTGAGAAACACTTTGCACATAGTCTTTGTATTCTGACACAGATACATGTTGACATGTTTCATGTATTTCTATTTCTGTGTGAAGCATTCATGAAAAAGAGAATTACACATTTTAATTTTGTACAAATCAATAAATGATGCATACTGAAGCGGTATCCATTTAAGTAACTCTGAGTCCTTTTCGCACATGCATAGTACAGGATGAATGAGCCGGTCTTTTAAAGTGTTTATTACATGTTGAGCATGAATCATACAGTGCACGGTGACTGAATATTTAGGCGAAATACATTTCTTCTTCTTTTTTTAATATAAACACAGAAGCAATATCAAATACATTCGATTTCAGGTCATATAAATCTTATACATGTGAAACAAAATATTCATTTTCAGCAGCTCACAGACTGAAATCGTGTTCATTTGTAAAGGATTTTAAACATGGGTTAGCAAAATTGCACTTTATGCAACTTTTATTGACAGGTATTGAAAAACAAATAAGCTGCAACAAAAGCGAGGAATCATTACTTTTCTCAGTATGTAGGCGCTACTGCCGAGCAAGTACCAGAAGTTTAAATGCTGTTAAAAAACATCCACTACCAGCCAATTCTGCAGTTAGACATTGTCCTCTTTCTAGTCGAGGGTGGACTGAGACGAGCAGCTTTCGAACTCACACTTCACTCCACTGATGCTGTCGACGCTCGGCTGACTGTTGACCTGTTGGTGCGTGTGCGAGAAAGGAAAGGTTTCGGAGCGGGACATCCGACCCCTGCCATTTGAGGAGCCCGATGAGCAGTCTATGACCATCCTCATAAATTCGGGTGCAGTGAATCGCCGTAGCAGTCTGGTCCCCAGGCCCGTGAATCCCGGGGTACGGTTGGGGAGATTCCCTGACTCAATTTCTCCCCTGGCAGGAAGTAACTTGTTGTGTCTGGCAGTCGCACCAAAGCTGCCCCTTTTCTGCTGCTCTCGTCTGCTCAGTGAAGCCATATCATTAGCCTCTTCATTCTTAGATTTGACATTCTCCTCTGGCACTCGTGCAGGCTGATTCTTGCTGTTTAAAAGAGGTTTTGGCACAGAGACAATTTTGTCAGCATCGTTTGTCAAGCCCTGGGTGTTCCCATGACAGTCCATCTTATCTATCAGGCATCTCTCATCCTGCAGTGAGGCTCTCTTTAATTTGCTGGCTGACAGGCTCATGTCACGCACATCACCCTGATAGGACTGCTTTCTGCTGCTCAGAAGGTCCAGGTTAAATGACTTTGCTTTGCCCCAGAGAGGAAAACTCGCTGGTGCTTGCTCTGGGAGTCCAGTGTCTCGGCTGACATCTTTCTGGCTTGGCTCAGGAAAAGAGTTCAGTGTTTTAGTCCCCCTTAGCTCTCTAAGGTGGCAGTTTTGCAGCTGCTTGGTTGTGAAGAGAATGCTGTGATCCCCCTCAGTTTGGCTTTTCTCAAGCTGAGGAGGCAGTGCCCAGCTGTGGCGATGGTTTTCCTCTTGAGATTGGCTCCTGGGACATCGGAAACGGTTCCACACTCCATTGCTGTCGCCAATTTTCAGCTGTCTCTGAAATACCCCAGGCAATTGGTCTTCATTATTTAACTGTTTGGAGAACCTCTCCAGAACCTGCCTGGGGAGCCTGCGGGGCAGACGGTACTCACCCTCCTGAGTGGTACTCGCATCAACAAGTGGATCATCTGTAGCAACACTTCTCCTGCAAGGAAAGTTCAGAATCTGGACGCACTGACTGTGCCCAAAGAAGCTGGCAACCTCAATGGCTGAGTGGCCAGCATTATTGGTCCTGTCCAGCCTCAGTCCCAGTCTTTTGAAAGCCCTGACCAGAAACTCCAAAACCTGGCTTTGCCCAGAAAATGCAGCATACATGAGGGCACTGTTTCCCCAGGAATCAGTGATATCAGGGTCAGCATTGAACTGAACTAGAAGTTTGACCACGTCCAGGTGTCCCATTTCACATGCATGGCTCAGGGCTGTGCGACCGTCCTCATCCTGGCAGTTGACATCCGCCCCTTTTTCCAGCAGCAGCCGGGTGAACTTGGCCCTGGTCCCAGGGTCTTGCAGGCAGACGGCATGCATGAGCGGGGTGCGGCTGTTCTCCGTCTTCGAGTTGATAATGCGTCCATCCAGTGCGTCCAGGATGAACCGTGCAAGGTGGACTTTACCGCCATGCATGGCATCGAGGAAGGTCTTGGTGCCAGAGCCCTGGCGTAAATCTTTTGGCCGCATCATCCTCCAACAGCTACTTGCAGTGCTGAGCCTTCAAGTGAGCCGAGAAAGAGAGATGGCAAAAAGGGAGAGGAACTGTGCGGCAAGTTCTCCGATACTCACTGTGTTAGAGTGAGCGCTTCACCTCAGAGTAAGACTCACAGAGGAGCTGCTAGTGTTTTTATACCTCCCTTTCCACATGCCCTCCCCACGTTGCCTAGGAAACAAACGTCTGAGGACCATTATGCAGTCGCAGCATCCATTCAGCCCGAGCACTCTCTGCCTGGAGAGAAATATATGCTATTTGAACAGAATAATTACTCAAGGAGAAAAACATGGCCAGCATTTACCATATGAGGTCTGTGGGGTTAATTTAAATGCAGTATTTTCACTTTTGTTTGTTGCAAATGAACTCAATCGAGAAAATTTTGCTGTTGACAGAGCAGTCAAAATAAAAAGGGACTCATGTGATGAATAGTGCATTATGCTCATGTGTAAATGTCCCATTTACATGCAAGACTATACTGTATCAGTACACTTAGCAAATGTTTGACGGAAGATGAGACAGGCTTTGAGAGATCTATTCACTCTGTTGGTGTGGGGGTATGTTAACAGTTATCCTTTTTTCCCCCTTGAAATAATGCGTCTATCCATCCATCCCTCTCTGTGTGTTTGTTCACAGTTTGCTCCAGCCTGCCATAATGAAGTGCAACAAGTTCAAGTTATTCTCCTCAACTGTGAGAAGACTTTTTCAAGGTTTCATGATAATGGCCTTGCCTGAAGGTATTTTCTTGTCAAGGGAAATAGTAAATCCGATCGAATCTACAATAAAAACACAGTGAAAGCAACATTAAATAAAAACAAAACAAAACAGAAATCGCTCAATGTCAGATTCAGTCCTCTCAGTGACTCGAGTCCCTTTAATCATACAGATTAAGACCACTGTTTGTTTAAGGATTTCAGTGTGATTATCAACCTCCTTTTGCAGTAACACTGAAAATAACAATCAAAAGCCCACATGATTATGAACGGCTCCCCTAAATATAGCTATGTCAAACTTGTAGTATTAGACATTCAGTTAGTACACTTCATAGTTAATGATTTTTAAAAGAGCAGTTGTGCACTTACAGGGAGTGACCAAGACTGATGTGCTAACTACTGCAATTTATGAACATCAGTTATAAAGCCTCTTGCCACACGTAAAACTCTGTACTGAAAATAACAAGTTGGCATGCATACCTACCAAATATTAGCGATGATGGTGTATCCTTCTCTCAATGGCTGAAGATTATTATTAGCCAGTACCTCCTTTTTCTATATGTAGCAACTTATGGCAAATGGTTGTTTTTGGTGATTTAAATTCTAGAACTGTGTTTGTTATTTAGCACTAGTTAGCAGGTATTTGTTTCTCTGCATTGCACCTGTGCAGTATAGAAACAGCTTACTAGTCATTATTTCTATATTTTATATTGAGATTTTGCAGACACAGATTTTGCACAATAAATGACTGTATGTCAGTCTGCATTAAACAATGTACTCAAAAAAGCAAGTTTAAGTCAGGAAATATGATTTGGGATACAGTTTATTCTGTGCACCGAGAAACTGGCAGGTTATTCTGTTGTTGTATTTTTCATAGCTTGTAAGAATAATCAAATTATTACATATTACCACTAACATCTCAACTGTGCACATATGCCTTAAAACTGTGTTTGAGTCATTTTACTCAGATCTATAAATGTGAAGCTCATGTTGGTACCGTTAATTAAATTATTTAATCCTTTGTTGTCAAGGCTTGTGACTGAGACCCTTTACACAGCTGTTTGCGCTCCACAAGACTAGAGTTTAATTTAAATTTCTAATATAAATCTCAGCAGGACCAAAAGTGTGCCAAATGGTGGAGGTGAGAGGAAACATTACTCCGCTTCCACCTAGCTCACTGTTCACCACCCAGCTTCATCAGACCCTCAGCGGGTCCTTTGTGTAGCACTACGAACCATTCGATCATTCAAGTGGGGCTGAAATTCATCAGCAGATGCTTCCTGTGGGTTGTCTTTACATGGATGGAAGCTATAGCTAGGTTTCATTTGACGTAGACGTGACGTCGACGTAAAGCGCGAAATTTGACTGGCGGTCGGAAGTGAAAAAGATAAGCGCAAAATCACAGACAGACAGTACGCAAAATGCCTATGTCCTGTTGTGTTTACGGATGCTCCAGTAGGTCGACCCGAGAAACTGATAAACGGTATTTTAGGGTACCAAAAATAGCCCAACGAAGAGGAGAAAAATGGAAAATTCTAACCGAAAAACGTAGGAAAAAATGGATTTTAAATTTACGTTTACAGTCGGGAGGAGCAGAGTCTGCCAATGCCCGTGTCTGCAGCGACCACTTCGTCAGAGGTAATGTTATGTTTGCAAACGAACTTATTAGCATTAGGTTGTCGTTAAATTCTCGTTTACTTAGTGCTTTTAAGTTAGTAGTCTAATATTGACTTGATTGGGACTATAGGCTGCCCAAGTGCTTTGGATGACGAAGAGTCGGAGGACTGGGCTCCGACGGTCAATCTCGGCTACGAACGAAAACCCAGATCGGAATCAGTTCTCAAACGAGAGAAAAGAATGAAGCTTAAGGCAGAACAGCATCGATGTGCAGAGGCGATTTTGGATATGCAACAGACGGCTGAGAGCCCGGATTTGAGCCTAGTGACAGTGGAGAACCCCGAACTGCAGCTTCCAGCTGAGAATCCACAACCAGAAGACTTCAGTGTGAATGAGACATTCACTTATCCAGGTAAGATATTGTGCTGAGATGTAAAACAAACAAGAATCATGTGTGTGTGTGTGTGTGTGTGTGTGTGTGTGTGTGTATGTGTGTGTTCTCATTGCAATAACATCCTACTTAATTAGGCTACTAACCCTGCCATACAATTGCAATGAGCTGCAATCACTTCTCCATCCTCCTTTGCAATTACCCAAGTCTTCAGAGGTGTCTCGTTAGACCTCTGAGAATGGTTTACCTTGAAACAAACAACTGTCACTCTAACGAAGTCCTAAGGATGTGGCATGTTTGTTGACGTTAAAGCCGCTACCGCTAACTGTTAGCGTGTTTAAGATAAAGCAATATAAGAACAAACACTCACCCTTGCAAACACCAAACTGTATCCATCACGGAGACGTTTTGTTCCAAGGTTGTGGACCCACCCGCTGACAAAAAAATTGTACGCCTCCAGACTCTTGAAAGCTTTCATTTGCTGCCTAGTGTAGTAAGAAGTCTGGAGGACCAAGTAGTTGGTGATATCCACAGCCTCGATAGTAGGCAAATCCTTTACTTCTGTGGTGTATTCGGACATTTTCAAAGAATACGGATCACGTCCGATATATTTTTTAACTATCTGTTTATATCTCTCCCGAGAAACGGGGTCTAAAGTTGCACAATAGCTGCTCTCCTGACTCTCCACAGTGTCCTCCATGTTTACTTCCGCCCTCCACTCAAAAATCGCGCTGCCTCCGCACGTCATCAGAACCACGTGACCGCAACCCAACTATTCTGTCAACATGATCTTTTTTCATAACAAAATCATATCATTGTCAGTAGGGCTGCACGATTAATCGTTAGAAAATCGCGATCTCGATTCATACTTATGTGCGATCTCATTTCCAAATGACAATGATTTAAAAAAAAGAAAAGAAAAAAAAAAAGACGACGATTGTAGTGCATTTTGATCCGGGACGTACTCTGCATGAAAACAAGCGCTCACTCTTCCTGCTCAACAAATGACAAGGGCGGAGCCTTATACCACGTGATACAGAAGCTGTGATGCTAAAATTAGCAGGAAAAAAACAACAGAGAGCACGTCAGGGATGACGAGAAAGTGACAGGAGAAAATCCGTCCCGGTCAACCACCCAAACATCAATAACGGGAACCTTATACAGCGCTTCCCTATATGTAACAATGTGGATTGTTGTTTGCAAGATGTTTTGTTCCACAATAGATTGTGTTGCTGCACGGACGTTTTAGAGTGACACACAAGTAAGGATTGTTAGGGTGTATGTTGCTGTTGTACATGGCAGAGGACCAATCTGAGTCGCATGACTTGTTAATAAAACTTACTACCCCGTTGGGTAGGAAATAGATATTCTGGAGTCTGTCGTGAATGAGACCAGAATATAACATGGTGGCAGCGGAGCGGACAGCGGAGCAAGCTGCACGGCCGGAGTGAACCCCCAAGAGACGCCTGTCGGAGCGGTGAGCAACTAGCGGCTAATCGAGCTAGCACCGCCGCGAGGCATGGAGGGCCTTAAATCGCCGCCGACGCTGGTATTGGACTCCAGTAACCTATCACGGACATGGAAGACCTGGAGGGACGAGTTTATGCTCTATGTGGAGCTGACCATGGACTCAGACGGCGAACAGAAAAAAGTAAGCTTGTTCAGTTATCTCGTTGGTGAGAGCGGCAGGGAGCTGCTAGACACGCTAATGGGCGACACAGCGAGAGATCGGTGGACAGTTAAGGACATTATTGAGAAGTTTGACAATCATTGCAATCCTGTAGTTAATGAAACTGTGGAGCATTATCGGTTCTTCACGAGAAACCAAGGCGCCAGTGAGACAATCGACAGCTATGTGACGGAGTTAAAGCTGCTGACAAAAACGTGCAATTTTGGAGTAATAAGGGACTCACTGATTCGCGACAGGATTGTATGTGGACTTAACAACCCGAGTTTGAGGGAGAGACTGCTGCGTGAGAAAAACATGACACTGGATGCATGTATGCGGCACTGCAGAGCCGCAGAGCTGTCGCGGGAAAACAGCAAAACCATTTCGGGAGCTGCAGTGGAGGAGGTGCATGCTGTGCGTGGAGCTGCGCGCCAGAAACGGATCAGCGACGCAGTGGACTGTAAGTTTTGTGGCAGAACACATGAAAAAAAGAAAGAAAAATGTCCAGCATACA